CACGTCACGCGAGCACGTATCCAACGCTGCAATAAGAAGATATTCTTCACTCAATGTATAAAACTACCAATCACTCTATAAGAAAACCACCTTACTATATCCCCCGACCTCCTCTCCCCTCGAGATATCACGTCAGTGCATTCTCATTTAACGTGAAATTCTCCTATCCCAATGCTCTTCGTAAGAAGTGAAATTACCTACTTGATTGCTAACATCCCACGCAACGCACGCTAGACCTTCGCTAACGTGGACGCCTGTTTCAAAAGCTAATCTACCACGTAGTTCCTCATTACTGTACACTGATTCGAGGAACTGTTCGAGATACATTAGACGAATTGATTGCTCTAAAGATTTCATCGTATTTACTGTTAAAGCGTGTTGGGTAGAACGGACACTTCTCAAGACATTACTGATTATTATGCGAATTTAAACCTCCGATAGTTTAGAGTTAGGTCATTATCGTTCATTCAGCTAACGAAATTGACAAGTGTGATACTTTTTCAGCCAGTCGAGGACGTATGAAACCGAATTACGTACTTGTCATATTCATCCTCTTCACACGTTAACACTATCATCCTGAGCCTGAGAAACTAATGTTTAGCTATGCCTAGCATTCTGCTAATGATCAGGATATCGTGGAAGCAGACATTTGAAGTACGCGGATTATTAAGGTCTTTTTAGGATGGTCATATGTGGATGAGAATTACCTGGTCCTCGAACGTGCATATCTTCCAAACTTTCAAATGCTACAACTGTTACGTCACACCAAATATCACACGGTAAATTGGCCACAGTATATGAGCCAAATGCTACACCGCGACATCGACAAGATTCCCCGGTTAGTGTTGTTGCCCTGAATTAATTTTATTTAATCCACTGAAATTTCACTCCATGGAATTGTTTGTTTCAATTTTAATATTCTATATTATTAGTTGCTTATTTAAATTATTTCTTTTTTCATAATAATGAAATTACGAAAGCTTGATAAATTATTCATATTTCATCTAATCATTTCATATATTAGTGAATTACTGAAGTATTAGTTAATTAAATTTAATTAGTACTATATTAAGATTGTTCGTTTTTTTTTTATTTTCCTCTCTTTAACTGTATTACATGTTCTTGTATCACATAATCTTTTCTTGTACAGTAATATTATTCTTATTTGGAAGTATAAACAATTGATATACCGCTACACACTTGGATACGTTTAAGATTGTAATTTAATTTTTGTATGCAAATACTAGAAAGTATTATCCAATGTCGATGATTTTAATTGTGTGATTATGTTCAAATGATATTTATAACCGATAAAGTGAAATAAATGGGTACTGATAATGCAAACGCATACCAAAGTCGCGCAGTTCCTGGATCGAGATCATCAGTTAACTTTTCTACTTCAATCTTTACAAACGCTGAAATTTTTTTACATATGCTTTTCGACACTATTGACATATTTTTGTGATATAATAATTTAAGAAGAAATATGAAATGACGCCAATATAAGTATATATATATACTTATGTAACCAGCTTATACTTATTTCAGTTAATTAACCTTCAGTAAGAAGTGCTAAAAATGGTTCACGATCAGAGAAAATAAAGATATTCACAAACTGTCCATTACGTAAT